GGCCCAGCGGTTCAACGACTGCGCTTCAGCAACTACCTAATAACGTTCATGGTCTAGTGCGATTTGGGACCAGAGCACCCATGTCCAAAACCTAATGACGTCCATGGTCTAGTGCGATTTGGGACGAGAGCATCCATGTCCAACACCCAATGACGTCCATGGTCTGGTGCGATTTGGGGCCGGAGCATCCATGGCCAAAACCGAGCAACGTCCATGGTCTAGGGCGATTTGGGAACAGAGCATCCATGTCCCAAACTTAATGGACGTGCGGTGCGACTTAGTCAGCTGGGCGGGTGGGAAAAATGACGTCCATGGTCTGGCGATCTGGGACCAGAGCATACATGTCCAAAACCTAATGTGGTCCAGTGCGATTTGGGACCAGAGCATCCATGTCGTTCTGGTTTCTGAACCTAAGTGTAGTTTCCGAATCAGTTCGTTGAGTTTCCGAATCAGCCGTTCCAGTTTCTGAATCACGGCTGGCTTCTGAATCATGGCTGGTTTCTGAATCAGCCGTTCTGGTTACTGAATCAGTCGTTCTGGTTGCCGAATTGTCCGCCGACCGAAAAATGGCCTTGTTATGGGTGTTTTTCACGGAAGGAGTTATCTTAGCTCTTATGACATGAAAACAGCAGCAACCATGTCTTTTTCAAGCTGCAAACCCTAAGAAGTTCGACAAACTTTAATTATATTCGATTGCGTCTAAGACACAGAGGAGTGATTACTATATTTTGTAACGTCGACCGATACGAAAGTGCTCTCACATTTCTTACACGGATAAAAAGAAACAAACATCCTGTTTAGTCATTGGCAGAATGTAGGAGCTTGTTGTTTCTGGCCATTGCCAAAGATGAAGAGGAATTATTGGGATTCTTTGTGATTCATGAAGATTTTTTCTCTCTTCTCTGTTGGGGAACAGCACGGTTTATCCAGAAGAGGAGGAGCTGTTTGGTGTTTTTTGGTGTTTTCTTTAGTTCAGGGAGGCTGGTTCCCTGCCCTATCCAAACCCAACAGGTAGGCATGCAACGTGGAGTGGCAAACAGACTCCGTTTGGGGATTCAGGTTGTTTTCACTTGACACGAAGAAGTAACATGACTAGTGGTAAGTATAATTGAAGTCGAGAAACCACCGTAAATATCGACGGTTTCTGTACTTAGGATACAGCAGACAGGAACAGAAGATAGTGGAACATAAGTCGACAAGAAGGCTGGTATGATCATGGAAGAGTGACTATATATGTATAATATGTATGTTTATATCGTTTTAATTTCAAGTTCCACCAGTACTGCTTGTGAAAGCCACTGTTTGTATATATGATTATGTGTGTGTGCTATCTGGTATGGTATGACGAGAAGGCATACATGGTACATTTGTATGGTGTTTGGTGTGTGTGTGTGTACATATATACATATATATATATACACACGTATGTACATATTGAGCGTGTCCTGCTTCTCAGTAAGCGCAGAAAGTCACTGTATCACAAGATTGACTTCAAAAGGCAATTGGAAACGCTGGGTCCTCCGGTCGGATGTCACACATTCCTCAAGTTGGTCCTGACTGCTTCGCCTGCAGAGTCAGCAATTCAGCAAGATTCAACCAGAGACCGCTGCCGTGCTTCCCGTTCTGAACATCTATACGATACTCTGTTCTTCAGAGAGCCTTCCAAGAAGCCCACAGCCAACGCCGTTGCACAGAAACGGTAGCACATTCCGTCCCACACCCAGTGCAGTCCCCATCTATGAGATTTGCTAACCCGACTTCCATCAGTGGGTTTTGCCCGCGAGGTGGGAGAGGCACCTTGGAAGTCACAACGGCGCCGTGCGAGGAAGCCCGGAGTGTCCTGACTTGAGGTGCCCGCCTTTCGTAGCCGGCTCAGATTCCACATTTACTAGTGAAGTATGCATTCCAGCTGTGTTTTTTGCTTCCACTGTGTTCATTTGCCGGAATGGAGCGCCTGGAGCGCCAGCTTGGCCTGTCGTTGTACCTGTAGGAGGTGTGTGCTAGGCTTTTCAATGTGATGTGATCATGTCACGGCCTGCAAGCATGCGGACAGCTTTGATTGTTTCCACTTTACTTTAAGACATGCGACGGCATGACAGAAACTTGTAGACCATTAGGCATGTTTTTGCCGGTACGAATGCTTGCATACTCAGAACTTGGCACATTTGCAGGCTGCCAGACTCAGATTCCAGCGCCTGCGAATGCTGAATGGTTCGGTTTGTCTCCGAGAAGTGAGGATGTTAGATTTCAGCAATCCCCATCAGACAGCTTCGCAAAAAGTTCTCAGCAAAGGATAGATTCGCAGAGCTGTTCTACGGGGGCCAAGGATCTCTATCATCCCCATCCCCAACATTTTTATCATCACCCATGATTTCTATCATTGCAATTTAACATCCACATTACGATCATCTTTGTCGCCTCTATCATCCCTGCCATCTCCAGCATCCACATCATCCCCGTCATCTTTGTCATTCCCATCATCTCTTTCATCCCCATCATTTTAATTATGCGCGCTATCTCCATCATCCCTATGATCCCCGTCGTCTCCATCATCCCGATCATCTCTATCACCCACACCATCCGCATCATCTTGATCGTTCCCATCGGCGCTAGCCCCGTCATCTGCATCATGCCCATCATCCCCGTCGTCTCTATCGTCCCTATCATCCCCATCACCATCTTCGTCATCTCTATCTTCCACATCATCTCTATCGTCCCGATCATCTCTATAGTTTCTATCATTCCTAACATCCCTATCATCCCCGTATCTCTAGCATCCACGTTGTCTCTACCATCCCCTTCATCCCTATCACCCCCATCATCCCTATCATCCCCGTCATCTCTAGCATCGCCGCCATCACTACCATGCCAATCATCGCTATCGTAGTAAGTCGTAGTAGTAGTAGTAGTAGTAGTAGCAGTAGTAGTAGCAGTAGTAGTAGTAGTAGTAGTAGCAGCAGAAGTAGTAGCAGTAGCGGAGTAGTAGTAGTCGTCGTCGTCGTCGTAGTAATTTATTAGTAGTAGCAGCAGCAGCAGCAGTACTGGTAGCAGTAGAGGTAGCAGCAGGTTCGGGCAAGTCGTGGGTGTAGCGGGAGGGAGGGATCAAATAAAACATGTTAGAGTGCAGCGAGACAAAGGGGGCGGGGGGGGGGGGGGGNNATGGGCCGCAAAGGACAGGACAGGGGGTTGGTTTGAAGGTGTGGGTGGGTTTTCAGAACAGGCGGGGTGAACTAGCCTATGGTCGGGGGTTGAAAAAAACACATCTCTTTAATGATGGTGATGGTGGTGGGGGGTTGGGATGGTGGAGCCGTGCTTCCTGGTGTTGAACATATCGGAACATGACGAAATCAGAAAGAATTTCCCTCGTCCTCTCGAGGCAACTGTAATATGCCACGAAGCTTTCCGAGATAGCTTCCAAAGGCATGTGGCCCCAAAGCTGCACCTGCCGTTTGCTGTTGCGAAGCGGTGAAGTAGCCTCGGAGGGCTTCTTGACCAAAGCTTGGCTATGCGTGCTACATCCGCAGCCTTTGCAGTGACACCAGGCCAAGACTCAGATCCAGCTCATTGGTTAAGAGGTCGGACGCTACAGCGCCCTGCTGGAGCTCGGGTCTCCACGTACTAGAACAACTTCTCGTCTACACTGGTTGAAACATCGCCCATAACTCCTAGAACCCCTCGCCACAGCCA